AGGGCCATGGCGTGTCCACACACCAGTGGGCCATAACCCTGTACCTCTAGGGCTTCCTGCTGCTCCAAGATCCCCTACAGGTCAGCCTGGGACTGCAAGGTGCCAGTTTCCATAGGTGGCCACGAGGAGGCAATGCAGAAGTCTCGATGATGGAGAGGCTATGAACTGGAAGGGAAGATTTATGCAGCGCTGCACCCTTTTTCTCATAAGGCTAACCAGCGGTGGCATTTGTAAGCGAGAAGGTATGCAAGCACAATACTATCTAGGCTACCACACCATCGCTTCACACCACCCTGCGCATGAAGCACTCACCCATGATCATTATGCTGATTATTATTGCCATATTCATCATTATAACTATTTCTATGATGATAACAATGATAATTTTAGAAATGATAATGACAATACTAATAATCATAATGACAATGATAATGATATTGTTAATTCTATGTCCATTGTTAGTATGGAAATAATTAGAATAGAGTTTAATTATGTGCTATTACTGCAGTAATTATCATAATTATCCTTATAATTATCGTTTTATCATTATCATCATTATTATTATTATCATCATTATTGTCAATAATAAAGTAATTATCATGAAAATCATCATAATTACCTTAATTAATGTTAAAATCATCATAATTACCCTTTAAAGCGAAAAAGGGGTTCCTTCGACGCTTCTCTCAAAAGGCTGTAATACGCTAGATTTTGCCGTTTTTTCGACTTTTGGGATTTTTTTAATTCCACTTATTATCCCTTTATCATTATTGTCATTATTTTTATGATCATAGTTATTCATTATCATTAATTATCATTATTATTATTATCATTATTGCAGTTATAATGATCATTATGCTGATTATTATTATTTTCATCATTATAACTATAACCATTTTCTATAATGATAATAACAATAATGATAATTTTAGAAATAATAATGACAATAATAATAATCAATATGGCAATGAAAATGATATTGTTAATTCTACGTCCATTGTTAGTATGGAAATAATTAGAATAGAATTAATTAGTGCTATTACTGCAGGAATTATCATAATTATCCTTATGATCATCATTTTATCATTATTGTTGTAATTATCATCATAATTATCATTATTATTGTCAATAATATAGTAATTATCCTGAAAATCATCATAATTACCTAAATTAATGTTATAATCATCAAAATTACCCTTTAAAAGCGAAAAGGGGATTACTTCGACGTTTCTCTCACAAGGCTGTAATACGCTAGATTTTGCCGTTTTTTCGACTTTTGGGATTTTATCCTTTTAGTCCTTATTTCATTATAAATGGACTCTATTATTATTATCATCATTATTATCATTATTGTAATCATTTTTATGATCATAGTCATTATTCTTATGATCATAGTCATTATTCTTATGATCTTAGTCATCATTCTAGTCATTATCGTCATAATCATCATTATTATTATTATAATATTGCAGTTATAATGATCATTATGCTGATCATTATTGTTGTTTTCATAATTATAACTATTTCTATAATGATAATAACAATAATGATAATTTTAAAAATGATAATGACAATAATATTAATCATAATGGCAATGATAATGATATTATTGTTAATTCTATGTCCATTGTTAGTATGGAAAAATAATTAGAATAGAGTTAATTAGTGCTATTACTGCAGTAATTATAGTAATTATCCTTATAATTATTATTTTATCATTATTATCAATGTTTTTGTTATTATCATCATAATTATCATGAAAATCATCATAATTACCTGAATTAATGTTAAAATCATCATAATTACCTTTAAAAGCGAAAAAGCGATTTCTTCGATGTTTCTCTCAAAGGCTGTAATGCGCTAAATTTTGCCGTTTTTCGACTTTGGGATTTTATCCCTTTTAGACCTTATTTCATTGTAAATGGACTCAACTATTATTATTATCATCATTATTATCATTATTATCAATATTTTTATGTCATAGTCATCATCATAGTCATCGTCATAATTATCATTATTGCAGTTATGATTATCATTATGCTGATTATTATTTTTTAATCTATGATAATATTAATAAATTTCTAATGATAATGATAATATTTATTTTTATTAATGACAATGGAGTTAATTGTGTAATTGTAGTAATAATTAGAATATAGTTAATTAGTGCCATTACTGCAGTAATTATCATAATTATCCTTATAATTATCATTTTATCATCATCATTATTATTGTCATTATCATCATAATTATCATCATTATTGTCAATAATAAAGTAATTATCATGAAAATCATCATAATTACCTAAATTAATGTTAAAATCATCATAATTACCTTTAAAAGCGAAAAGGGGGTTTCTTCGACGTTTCTCTCAAAGCTGTAATAAAGCTATATTTTCCGTTTCGACTTATAGGATTTTATCCCTTTTAGTCCTTATTTCATTTCAAAACGGACTCTAATATTATTATCATCATTATTTTTATTATCATTATAGCCATGATTTTTTATGATCATAGTCATCGTTTTAGTCATTATCATCATAATTATCATTATTATTATCATTATTGCATTATAATGATCAGTATGCTGATTATTATTGTTATTTTCAACATTATAACTATTTCTATAATGATTATAACAATAATGATAATTTTAGAAATGATAATGACAATAATAATAATCATAATGACAATGATAATGATATTATTGTTAATTCTATGTCCATTGTTAGTAGGGAAATAATTAGAATAGAGTTCGTTAGTGCTTTTACTGCAGTAATTATCATAATTATCCATATAATTATCATTTTATCATTATTATTGTCATTATCATCATAATTGTTATCATTATTGCCAATAATAAGGTAATTATCATGAAAATCATCTTAATTACCAGAATTAATGTTAAAATCATTATAATATTCCTTTAAAAGCGAAAAAGGGGTTTCTTCGACGTTTCTCTAAGAAGGCTGTAATACGCTAGATTTTGCCGTTTTTCGACTTTTGGGATTTTATCCCTTTTAGCCCTTATTTCATTATAAATGGACTCTATCATTATTACTGCAGTAATTATCATAATTATCCTTATAATTATCATAATTATCCATATATATATTATTTTATCATTATTATCATTATTGTTATTATCATCATTGTCAATAATAAAGTAATTATCATGAAAATCTTCATAATTACCTGAATTAATGTTAAAATCATCGTAAGTTCCCTTTAAAGGCGGAAAGGGGGCTTCTTAAACGTTTCTCCCATAAGGCTTACAGCTTACAGATTTTGCCGTTTTTTCGACTTTTGGGATTTTATCCCTTTTAGCCCTTATTTCATTATAAATGGACTCTATTTTTATTATCATTATTTTTATGATCATAGTCATTATTATAGTCATTCTCGTCATAATATTATTATTATCATTATTGCAGTTATAATGATCATTCTGATTATTAATGTTATTTCATCATTATAACATAATGATAATAACAAATAAGATAATTTTAGAAATGATAATGACAATAATAATAATCATAATGACAATGATAATATTATTGTTAATTCTATGTCCAGTGTTAGTATGGAAATAATTAGAATACAGTTAATTAGTGGTATTACTCCAGTAATTATCATAATTATCCTTATAATTATCATTTTATCATTATTATTGTCATTATCATCATAATTATCAATAATCCAGAGAGAGATGACCACACCCCTCAACAGGTCACAGGGAACGTACCGTACGGACTGCTAAATGGCAGCCAGGACAACATGCAATACCCGCGCCATAGGTTCACCACCAGCCTTTAACAGTTCAGCTGGGATGCCGGAAATACCCGCTGCTTTACCACTCTTCAGCTTGGAGATCGCCTCCCTAACTTCAGCTAGGGAGGGAGGGTCCTCGCTAATGGGTGGGTCCTGCAGCGGAATCACGGCACTACCCACATCCAAGTTAACTGTTGGAGGGTCAACCTGATACAACTGCTCAAAGTACTCAGCCCAACGCTCCCTCACCGCAACAGGATCTGAGATGATCTGGCCACCCACTAAGCGAACTGCAGTCACTTGTGAAGAGGACTTGGAGTTCAGTTTTCTCAGGGTTTGGTATGCAGGACGAAGGTCATTTATTAAGAAATGGCCTTCAACCTCCTCAGCAAGATTCCTAATAAACTGTTCCTTTTCCCTTCTTAAAAGAGACCGAGTTCTGCGCACCTGAGAACGGTGCAAATCCCGATCCCCTGCCAGACGAGCCCCACAGGAAGCATCAGTGGCTTCCAGTGTCTCCTGAGAGATTGAATTCTGTCTTGCTCTCGGGCGTTCTCCAATCGATTCTTGGGCTGCATCAAGCGTTTCACGCTTGAAGGTGTCCCACAGAAGTATAGGGTCCATCAGATTGTCAAGCGCTGTGAACCGATCAGAGATTGTCTCAGCAAACCTCCGAGCACACTCCCTCTCCTTCAATCTGTCCAGATGAAACACCCTAGGGTGGTCATTGGGCTGCTGGGGAGTTTTGAAGTGTACCCGGAGGGTAGCTACAACCAATCTATGGTCAGTACCACAGAACTCAGCACTCCTATTAACCCTGCAGTTCTGGAGGATCCTCCGAGTGCTAACGAGAATGTGGTCGATCTCCTTGGCTGCATTACCCGCATCGCTGTATCATGTCCAACAATATGGGTCTGGGCGTTGGTACTAGGAGCCAGAGATCCTCAATTTCTGGGATCTAGCAAAATCCCGCAAAAGGAGGGAATTCTCGCTCCCGGTATCAACTCCCGAACCATGAGGACCGACTGACATCTCATAGTCAGCTCGATAGCAGCCAGATACCGCATTGAAGTCACCCAGAACAATACGGATATCTCGCCGGGGACAACTGTCTGCCACAGATGCAAGTTTGGCGTAGAACATCTTTTTAACGTCAAGTTTACAAATATCGGTAGGAGCGTACACAGCAATAAGAGACATGAAGCCAAAAGACAGCTTCAGTTTCATCACCATTATACACTCATCGACTGGAATGACCTCTACCACCGAGGGCTGGAACCTACCGGAGACAGCTATGGCTACTCCCTGGAGATGGTGACCATCGCTGCGGCCTGACCAGTAATAGGTGAAGCCACCTACACTGGTCGTGCCACTGCCAGGTCTTCTCACCTCTGAGAGAGCAGCCACCCCTACTCTCAGCCTCCCCAGTTCCCTCGATAGCAGGGGCAACCGATCATCCTGACGCAAAGAGCGGAAGTTCCAAGCACCCACCCTGACTTCCCGCCTGAGGTTAACCCTCGGGTAGTCGCTCTGGGTGGACGCCACCTCTGCCACCCTCGCCGACGCTGCCCCACATAAAAGGCGGCAGGCTACGGGACCCTTCACCCACCTGTGGGGTTCTCTAGGGCTTTGCCCCACAAGCTTCATATTGGGCTGGCGGCTGCCAGGACACAGGCAGGACGAGGAGCTCCTTTCTATTCGCCCAGCAGCCACCCTCCCAACGGAGCCCGCAGCCATCGTCTCTCGCTGGGTAGGAGGGACATTACCCCTCCCCCCAGCCTTTCCATTTATCTGATATGCTGCCAGTGGGTTATTCTCTGGGGGAAGGAGGACTGGGAAGGCCCACCTCCCCCGAGCCAACCATTGACCCAAGGGGGCTTAGGGTAATTATGATGATTTTAAAATTAATTCAGGTAATTATGAAAATTTTAACATTAATTCAGGTAATTATGATGATTTTCACGATAATTACTTTATTATTGACAATAATGATAATTATGATGATAATGACAATAATAATGATAATGATAAATGATAATTATAAGGATAATTAGGATAATTACTGCAGTAATAGCACTAAATCTAGCGTATTACAGCCTTTAGAAAACGTCGAAGAAACCCCTTTTTCGCTTTTAAAGGGTAATTATGATGATTTTAACATTAATTCAGGTAATTATGATGAATTTCATAACTACTTTATTATTGACAATAATAATGATAATTATGATGTTATTATCATTATAATAATAACAATAATGATAAAATGTTAATTATAAGGATAATTATGATAATTACTGCAGTAATAGCACTAATCAACTGTATTCTAATTATTTCTACACTAACAGTGGACATAGAATTAACAATAATATCATTATCATTGTCATTATGATTATTGTTATTGTCATTATCATTTCTAAAATTATCATTATTGTTATCATCTTTATAGAAATAGTTATAATGATGAAAATACCTATAATAATCAGCATAATGATAATTATAACTGCAATAATGATAATGATAATTATCACGATTATTATTATAATGATGACTATGATCGTAAGAATAATGACAATAGTGATAATAATTATGATAATAATAATAGAGTCCATTTATAATGAAATAAGGGCTAAAAGGGATAAAATCCCAAAAGTCGAAAAAACGGCAAAATCTAGCGCATTACAGCCTTTTGAGTGAAACGTCGTAGAAACCCCTTTTTCGCTTTTAGAGAGTAATTATGATGATTTTAACATTAATTCAGGTAATTATGATGATTTTCATGATAATTACTCGATTATTGACAATAATGATGATAATTATGATGTTATTATCATTATAATAAAAAATAATGATAAATGATAATATAAGGATAATTATGATAATTACTGCAGTAATAGCACTAATTAACTCTATTCTAATTATTTCCATACTAACAATGGACATAGAATTAACTATATCATTATCATTGTCATTATGATTAATATTATTTTCATTATAATTATTATTGTCATTACAGAAATAGTTATGATGAAAATAACAACAATAATTAGCATAATGATCATTATAACTGCAATAATGATAATAATAATGATGATTATGACGATGATGACTATAGTGATGACTATGATCATAAAAGTAATGACAATAATGATGTTAATAATAATAGAGTCCATTTATAATGAAATAAGGGCTAAAAGGGATAAAATCCCAAAAGTCGAAAAAAACGGCAAAATCTAGCGTATTACAACCTTTGAGAAAACGTCGAAGAAACCCCTTTTTCGCTTTTAAAGGGTAATTATGATTTTAACATTAATTCAGGTAATTATGATGATTTTAACATTAATTCAGGTAATTATGATGATTTTAACATTAATTCAGGTAATTGATGATTTTCATGATAATTGCTTTATTATTGACAATAATGATAATTATGATTATAATAACAATAATGATAAAATGATAATTATAAGGATAATTATGATAATTAATGCAGTAACAGCACTCATTAACTTTATTCTAATTATTTCCATACTAACAATGGACACAGAATTAACAATAATATCATTACCATTGTCATTATGATTATTATTATTATTATCATTTCTAAAATTATCATTATTGTTATCATTATAGAAATAGATATAATGATGAAAATAACAATAATAATCAGCATAATGATCATTATAACTGCAATAATGAATAATAATAATGATAATTAAGATGATAATGACTAGAATGATGACTATGATCATAAAAATAATGACAAGAATGATAATAATGATGATGATAATAGTAATAGAGTCCATTTATAATGAAATAAGGGCTAAAAGGGATAACATCCCAAAAGTCGAAAAAACGTTAAAATCTAGCTAGCAAATTACAGCCTTTTGATATAAACGTTGAAGAAACCCCCTTTTCTCTTTTAAAGGGTAATTATGATGATTTTAACATGAATTCAGGTAATTGTGATGATTTTCATGATAATTACTTCATTGACAATAATGCTAATTATGGTGTTATTCTCATTATAATAATAACAATAATGATAAAATTGATAATTATAAGGATAATTATGATAATTACTGCAGTAATAGAACTAATTAACTCTACTCTAATTATTTCCATACTAACAATGGACATAGAATTAACATCATTTTATTAATAACAACAATAACCGAGTGTTTCATTAGGAATAAAAGAAAAAAGAAGAAAGAAGAAGAAAAAGAAAAAGAAAGAAAAAAAATTAGACTTATCACCATTTTTTGTTTTGTTGTTGTTGTTGTACTATCCATTATTTGGTGTTTGCAAGGAAATTAGAAAACGGGGAGTGAATAATTCTATATGTCATCTGAACTTCATATACGTAATCATAGGTAAGCACTATTGATTTCTGATCGCTGTTTGGCATATGATATGATGAGATTATCACCACTATCATAATTGTTATCATTGCAAGTAGTATTGTTTTTAACATCATTATTGTTTATATTGTTATCACGACTATTATTAGTTAATATTATGTTAGTGATGTTTTATGTGTCATAACAGTAGTAGTGGTATTTGTCATGACAGCAGTAATATTATCATAATGATGCAATTCTGCTAATTAAAGTAATAATAATGATAATAATAAATGTTTATCTATATATACAAGTTTCTCGTATGTAGTCTCAGAATCCTTGTTTTCTTACGTATACTGTGTTCAAAGAAAACAGTGATCTTTCTCTCATGTTCTATTTCTTTTTTCTCTCTCTCTTTCTCTCTTCTTCTCGTGTCTTTCTTTTAATAGATCTCTAATTTTGATTAAAAACACTTTTAAGTATTCAGGATGTGTTAATGGTAATTACTATTTTGCCACAGAAACATAGGCTTATTCATATGATGCCTGTGGTTGGTTAAAATTGTATGTATATTCATCTGTATCTATATTTATCAATCAATCACTCTAAGGACTAAATGACGAAGATATTGCACATCCTGTATTGGATGATATGGCAACGTGACACTACTGAGTCAACACACCAAAATGTTTAGTTTGTAGGAAAATTGTGTATATGTGTTTTGAGTACTTGCAAGTGTACTTCATTCATTTTGCTTTGTTGTCATTTTCCTTGTCTTTGGGAAATTGATTAATACCTCTTTGCTCTCTGTTTAATGAACTCTTCAAATCCCTTTAGCTTATTTCTGTTTTTGTTTGGACAAATGATGGTAACATATCTATTTACTAACTTACGCGTTTAAAAAGAATAAGCTCCGATGCCCAGGCTGTACAAAGAAAAAGAAAGCGATTTCGCATCAGATTGCGTTAGAATTGCAGACGTAAGGCTTTTATCATAATTCTGATACCTGTAATAAAAAAGTGGAGAAATTTTAACGAGGTTGGTCAAATTATAATTTTAACGGTTGGCTGAAAGTGTTCATAGTTTTTAGAAAGTCATTTTGGTGCTAAAATTGGTGTCGGATAAGACAAAAAAAAAAAAAAAAAAAAAAAAAATACAAGCAAATTATTTATTTGGGAAAAAAAAACTGTTTGGCAGAGGAACGTGCGCGCGCATCCTCCTCACTTCGCCAGATAAACGCCTTTTTTCTCGGGGCCTGTTGTTGATTTCCGAGTTCGGAGAATGCGTCACTTTGTAGAATATAAACCATTGGGTAAAGGGGCGACGTCAGTAAGGTAACCCAACAACCCCCTTGGAAATAGTAGGGCAAAATAACGCCACTCGCGTGTTCCACATTATCATCATAATTAGTATCATTATTATTGTCATTATCATCATAATTATCATCATTATTGTCATAACAAAGCAATTGTCATGAAAATCATCATAATAACCTGAATTAATGTTAAAATCATCATAATTGCCCTTTAAAAGCGAAAAAGGGGTTTCTTCCAAGTTTCTCTCAAAAGGCTGTAATACGCTAGTTTTTGCCGTTTTTTCGTCTTTTCGGATTTTATCCCTTTTTGCCCTTATTTCATTATAAATGGACTATATTATTATTATTATTATTATTGTCATTATTTTTATGATCGTAAACATTATTATAGTCTTTATCGTCATAATTATCATTATTATTATTATCATTATTGCAGTTATGATGATCATTATCCTGATTATTGTTGTTATTTTCATCATTATAACTATTTCTATAATGATAATAACAATAATAATTTTAGAAATGATAATGACAATAATAATCATAATACAATGATAATGATATTATTATCAATTATATGTCCATTGTTAGTATGAAAATAAATAAAATAGAGTTAATTAGTGCTATTACTGCAGTAATTATCATAATTATCCTTATAATTATCATTTATTATTATCATTATTATTGTCATTATCATCATTATTGTCAATAATAAAGTAATTATCATGAAAATCATCATAATTACCTCTAATTAATGTTAAAATCATAATAATTTCCCTTTAAAAGCAAAAACGTGTTCCTTCGACGTTGCTCTCAAAGGACTGTAATACTGTAATTTTGCCGTTTTTCGACTTTTGGTATTTTATCCCTTTTAGCCCTTATTTCATTATAAATGTACTCTATTATTATCATTATCATCATTATCATTATTGTCATTATTTTTATGATCATAGTCATCATTATAGTCATTATCTTCATAACTATCATTACTATTA